GATTACTGGCTCAAACTTGCGCATGCGTAAACCGTGTCTCACGTGTGCAACATTTATGCATAGGCCGCTTCAAACGGCGGGATATTCTGTGTTCCTCTCTACATCAATAGTAATGTGTCAGTTGCAATTTGCATTCTTTTGTCTAATGTTTCTTGCTTATTGCTGCTTTGAACACACGGCCAGGGGGAGGGTCATTTCTGTTGGGGTGTAATTACTAGGTGAAGGACGATTTATTGTTCTATGTTAAACATAACTCAGTGTCATATAACTGAATGCATGTGAGAATACACATCATCATACACTTGACTATAAAAGTCATAGCAAAATCATATAAGGAAAAGAAGAAAAAATTCTGGAAAGCATAGGCAGCACATCCTCGTTCGGATCCCTCTGTAGGCATGTAGGTATGCAGCGGGGCAATGTAATCTATAATACGCGATATGGGTGAGTGGACATCCGGGTGACCATATACTTATCGTAATGCCATTTCAGCAATTCATTGCGAAATCCTGACGTCAACCAGACCCAGCTGAACACAAGCACATGTGGAACGACCAAGGTCCGGTCCCCAATTCGTTAGTGAATTAATCGCGGCTTGCAGTTCTATCCCGTCCTTTCTGTTTAGTATGACTCGCACGTGGCGAGCGTTAATCATTTGTTGGCGTTCTATCACAATAAAGTTTACTGGTGATTGTTTTTGTTTAACGTAAATAGATTTCAGAGATTTAAAAGGTAGCACAGTACTTTTTATTATAATTAAGCGGCTTTGGTACCAGTGGCTACTCCAAGATTGGCTGTCGTGGCATCAGAGCCCCGCCTTTCACAAGACTCATTGACAAAATAAGCAATGAATTAAAAAAAACTCATGTATGAACTTGAACGTGTTTATTTTGACTTCTCTGGGAACTTCGTATAATGTGTGTAAAATAATGCTACGACATTTGCGTGACATCAAGCCGGGTCCAATTTCCCCCTGTATGATAGCCCTGTTCCATCTAACGGATTGTCTAGCTTGTAGAACGTCGGGTGCACCGTGACTCTGCAATAACAAGATTTACAAGATTAACGTGGGGAGGGGGAATGATGGTGTATGATGGCGTGGAGTCGCCTTTCTTATTTTCTACATACACTGTCGCTAAAGCATCGCCTGGCAAGTTTGAATCATACTTTATCATATGATTTGCATTTTGGCGCCAAATTGCTGCGAATTATCAAATTAGCATTGATACACGAAATAACGCCACGCAATGGTATCCATATTTCATCACATAACAATCCTAGGTTCTAACCATCTCTGTCTACTGGACGTAACAGGGCTATTACACGAACCAATCAAAGTACCTCTTGATCAACAGGCTGTGGGTCAAGGTCTCTCTTCGTTGTCCGTGCATGAATTCAGACAGGCTTCCGTTGTTTTTCCGCCCACCTATTGACGTGGCCACTGATTCAAGCCTTCAATACATCCCTCTTGATGTTGTTGTTGTCGTAGTGCGTGTCATGTACGAGCACCCGTACAAGATCAATGCCAGAGCACAAACCCGGCTTTACAACTCAAACACAATAGATGTTTCGTCACAGATTTCCTCGGTTGGCGTTTCGGTGCGAGCGGACTTGTTGCCGGCATGATGCCCCAGTGTTATCATTAAGAACATCAGACCGGACAATCTTATCTATATTTCTACTGTTATATAAAATCTCACATCGGCGGACACTAGCAAAGCATCGAGAGCCACTGACCAGTCGGCAGTAACGTACAGCGTCCGCCTACGTGTATACCTGTGTAACCATGTCTGAAACAAGAGACGATTTTGCTTTTCTCTTCAAGTCGGTAAGCAAAGAGTACCCCGACCCTGTGCAGACACACATAACCGGTATGTAATATCAACATTATCTTAAGAAATAGTCATTCCCTTAAAAACACACCGAATAATAATTTTAGCTTTATAAAGATTTTCCGTCAATACATGTCGTTTTTTTTATATGCTATCTTATTTTCGTGGCAAAGCACATAGTGATACTGCCAGTACCGTCAATTATCGCTCTGCACCCTGACTTTGACTCATGCTACCTCTAATTAAAATCAACACTTGACTCAATAACCTTTCAATTAAATGTCTTGCTTGTTATTTTTTTTTTTTTTTGCACGCTGTTTGAGATTGTATAGTCTCGCTATGGGAAAGGTAATGTTCCATTCACGGCCTGCACAGTGATAACTTTCAGCCTGTATTTGGAAATTCGGTCAATCGAGCTAATCGTGATGTTGAAACTGGTGCGATACGATATAGAACAATATATATGTTAATGAGAATGTATGATAACTGTCGACGTTAATTGTGTTTGCCTAGGGTTCGCGAAAGTAGACAATGAAATATACTGCGTCAATGATCCGTAGTGTCGCGAAAAAAAAGTTAATAATACGAAAAAAACAACTTAAGTCCGCAACATCCGGGAATCAGGGTTAAGCTGAGAATATATAGTTAATATATTATGTTTTATTCATTTGTTTTATTAAAATAATGTAATAAGACATTTACTGAAGAAGTGTAAGTATTTCCATGACCTGCCTCACCTCAGCTAACCCTAATAAAGCTGTCATGTCATCCAGGGAGGCGATCATCTTATTGACTTTTTAACGAGAAACCTAACACTGCCCTAGTTTTGCATCAGCAAGTGCATTGTACTGATGTATAAAGCTTGCCTACTGCCGTATATTGAGACCATTCAGCGCTGATTGATTAGTTCGTTTTAAACTTGGGAAGCGAGTACGTACGGATCACGAATTTAAAAAACAAACAAAAAACAGACGCTGGGAAACGTGTATCGGGACTCCGTACTAATGTTTGATGTTGTTATATTTCATCGTCGCAGTTATCGTTGGTATTGCCTATCCACAGAACCACCAGTAATATGACGCATGTTAACGCATACATGTTATGTTCATTGAACCTAAATGAAATTTTTGATACACATCCAAAATTAGAACAAAACATATTCTTTAATCATGTTTTTCGAATTCGATGCAATGCAGTGTTTTCACTACGAGTCGGAAAACAGTACAGCACAAGGACAAAGTGACACCATCAATAGTTCAGTGACGCGCTGCTCCAAGAAAGAAAACAACCCAATTTGTTTACGGCGTTATTCGTGATAACAACGTGTAGCAATGGGAGCTTATAATGGCATAGGTATTAATTTCAAAACAACCTTCTGACAAACTTGCATCGAATCATCAAAACCAAAACGAATTTTTCCGCTGAAAGAATTGCAAAGAGCGAATAATTAGGACAGCTTGACCGCAGAATGTGTGCGATTCAAATGCTTATAGTGGAAGAGATCTATTTTATTTAAACGCGGCCAGTAGAATGGCGACCTCAATATCGCGTTACATGAATGTAGTTCGTCTTTATAGTGCGACAAATTATATTGTCAGGGGTGCCGCTCACACTGATTTGATGGAGGGCAACACGTGCAGGCTGGGACGTATGGACATCAATCGATTTAAGTGAACTGTAACGGTGTTAACGACCGCCCTTAGACATCACCAGTGCCATACGGGTTTCCAATCTTTCACAATGCTGACGAGGCCGGATTGCATTGTCCACGTATATCAACCACAAGTAGTAGTTATCTACGCCGAATTCATTGTATATGGTTTCGGTGGGTGAACGAACAATACCGGGGCAACCTTGTAATATATCCCTACCTGTTGTCCAATACTTTACTATAGTTCAACGGATTGTGATAAAAGATATATTTAGAACTTGGTTCTTTCATGCGTCTATTAACTTGGACTTGATACTTGTCAAGGATAAACTTTTCTATTGTACGCACAAACAGGCGTGGAGGCTAGACGTGACATGTAATGAGCTCTTATTGAGACGCACATCGATTTTAAACACTGTTTTATACAGAGGTGTTTATACGGTGTAAAGTTAGTAGCTAAAATTCGTGGTTGGCGATACAATGAAATTACTGTCATTTGACTTTCAACGAGCTGCCTCTGTATTTTATTGGCTGTGTTGTATTCCTGACTCGATTTCTGTATCAACAATTCCATCTACGTCACCTCTACATGATGCAAAACATCGCCCTGTTCGATTTCACACTACAACATCATCACGCGATGATGTGTATGTTGAACATGAGTGTTATCGCTCCCCAATACGAATATGAATTTATGCTTCAACAAGCGTGCTACATAATGATAACATGCGCTACGTTTAATTTTGTTATATTTTGTATGTATATATTTAAAAATGTTTGATCCTGTGTGAGGTAAAAAGAAAAATAAAGCAGTACCTTTAACACATACACACTATCTGTGACTTGGTGGGACCACATGGTCAGACACACCTATGATGTAAGAACTCTGTCGGCTTTCCTTTGTGGCTTTTAGGCCAGACAGTGTGACAATAGGTGATTTACCTATCGGAACAATTACACATTATGTGTGCAGTACGCTCTCTGGGCGTTTGCCAATTATGCCAGACAGGGCAGTGCTCCACGCTTCAGACGCTACGTGTTGTCTCATACACAGACAACTATATGATATGATGATGATCAGCTTTATTCAATGCCGTCGCCGTGCGAGGTGTCTGACTGCATTGGTAGCCCATACGTGTACACACGTAGCGGTTACCAATGTACTCGCTCAGTCGTGTGGCCCAACCGTTGAGGCAAAATTGACGGCGGTGTTTCATACACAGGACGTTAGTGTTTCACTTACAACGCAACATTTGTGTACCCATGATGCATTGTATACCCATGATGCAAAGCGATGACGATCTCAGTCGGCTCTTGAACGGAAAATCAAACACGTAAACACAAATTACTCCAAAAGCCAGTGGCGGCGACACAGGGGGGTCGCCCCTCTGATAAAAATGTGGGGGAAGGGAGGCGACCCTCCAAAATCAAACTGAAACCCCGGTTGTGTCAGCAACATGTGTCCCTGAAAATGCAGGAAATAGCGTCTTACATGGTCTAGACTGTTAAGGGGGAGCATGCCCGGACCCCCTGGTAAGGTTGGTGAGCAAAGTTTCGTGTCGCCGACTCTGAAAGCTTCGAAGTTCCCTCGTGAGATTCTTCTCTAATTTACCATTTTGTATATCGAAAATGTGTGTAGGTAGCGACGGCATGTTACAATACGGTCATACCAGAGCGGGAAACAGATTCACATGAAGCTAGTGACCGAGCAATTTGTCAGACGCACTACAAGTATTTCATTCATCCTCGTTCACGTCTGGTTTTTTTATATTCACTTCTGCTATCTGTATATCAGTCTCACCGCGGTTTGGTTGCGGAAAATGTTTAGAGGCAGCACTAATCACGATTTCCAGTCGTTTACTGTGAATGTGGGAATGCAGAAGCCGGTGTAGCAAGCGAGAAAACGGAGAAAAATTAACAATTATATACGAGGTGTATATTTATTACAAATGCAACCCTTTCTTGTAATACAATGGAGACCTTCTTAATAGGGCGGCAGTCGTCGTGCCGCGTCTTGTTCGATATGGGACTCATAGCGACGTATACAACGCGTGTAAAATACACTTTATTTACATGAAAATCGAACACGCGCTGCGCGACGACCACCGCGCTTTAATATTGGTGGCGCGGGGAACAGATTACGTGTTTGTTTCTAAAATACTGAACGCGTTTGTGGGTCACTTTATTTTGGAGTCATCCACGTTCAATGTACTTTTAATCTGCGACTGAGCAGTGAATACATGCGCTAAGTGAACAATGCGGAGAGATCACGTGACTGATATGATATCGCATGAGGGTAACGACAGGTTACGTACGCCACATCCCAAGTTCATAACCAAGTGCGATGTCCCAGAAGGGGTCGATCATTTGAAATAATGAGGGTGCCGGAAGGTTTTCAAGCAGGACACTGAGGAAAAATGCATACACGGTATTGCTGGAAAATAATTCCAGAAAAATAAAATGTACAGCTAAAGCAACGCCAATATATGACTACACAGATTCCGCTCTTCCATCCACCCCCTGTCCCTGTGTCAATAAGATTTTGTCTTTTTTATAAACCTTTTATTCATTACTTATTTTTAATAGCACATTGCTTAGTGACGGTATTAGTCGCCGCTCTAAAATTACACTACGCTGACACTAATAAATGGGATCGGGTGATGTCGTTCTTCTTCGGGGGATTCAATTATCGGAAAGGAGAGGTATGATTCAACCCCGCAAATAACATGTGTTCTGATTATCTCATTCAGGCACAATTCCTAAATGGTTGACGGGGACCCTGCTAAGGAACGGTCCAGGCAAGTTTGAAGTTGGCGATGAACCGTACAAACATTGGTTTGATGGACTGGCGCTCATTCATCGTTTCAGTTTTCACGATGGCCAAGTTACCTACCAGAACAGATTCCTAAGAAGCGATGCCTACAACAAGGCCATGAAATATAACCGTATTATTTTGAGCGAATTTGGAACATTAGGAATCCCAGATCCTTGTAAAACCATATTTGAACGCTTTGCCACACATTTAGTTCCGCTGAATATCACGGACAATGACTTGATCAATGTCTTCACTATCGGCGATGAGATTTATGTCAACACAGAAACTTGCTTTTTCCGCAGAATATCGAATACCGAGACTCTTGAATTTGACAAAAAAAGGGTAAGTTGCAGATCAATAATGAAATATTCCTAGGGTACCACTCTCTTTTGTACCATGCTATTTACGTGGTACTATGTCTCTCTCAGCCTGACATGTAGACTTGAGTAGAGTAGGCCCTCGCCGGCCGAGCACCGCAGAGGGCGCAACTCACGTGACCTCACCAGGCTACGTCTCTTTCTGTGGTTTCTTGTAAACCTGTAATCTATTCTGTTAAACTATAGAGAGTGATAGTCAGTTTTGAACTTGTATAAAAATGGGGACGAGGTGAGATATATTTCTATAAATCGTGCTATAATTACTATATTTGTTGTTACAGATCAACCAATTCCGAACGCTAGGTGTGCTCACTGCGTCGGCGCACCCACATGTTGACAGAGATGGCACTACTTACAACATGGCTTCGTCCTATATGACCGGGAGCTGTTATAACATTGTGAAATATGGCAAAGGTAACTGAAAGACAACGACTCGTAGTTATTTCCATTCGTTTATAGTGCACAGTATTAAGAAACATAATAGGTTTTCTGAGTTTACTGAACTGTATAGGTCAGTGCCTTATGACGTCATGTGTCATGCAAGGCTACCATAAGGCTCAGTGACAAAAAATGACGCATGCGTATCGAGCTCCCTGTCTGCTGCCATATTATGTTATAGCACGTTGAGTAATTATGTTATTTCTTATTTTTCAGAGAGTTCGGATGATCCGTCGAAAAATGCCGAAATAATTGGAACAATTCGCGCCAAACACTGCCTTAAGCCTTCCTACTACCACAGCTTTGGCATGACAGAGAACTACTTCATATTTTTGGAACAACCATTATATATCAACCTCAAGAAACTCGCGACTGCGCAGTTGAGAGGTTCTGCCATCTGCACGTGTCTTGAATTCGACAATAACGCTAAGTCCTACTTCCATCTAATGGAAAAGAAAACCGGCAAGAAACTATCAATTGAGTACGAGGCTGATGGGTTCTTTGGCATGCACGTCATAAATGCGTACGAGGATGAAGGACACGTCGTGTTTGATATGTGCTGTTACCATGACGATGAATTGATCACTAAGTTTTACCTAGACTATCTGCGCAATGGAGACCACGAAGGAAAGCGCCACTTCAGCCCGTCATCAAGTATGCGTTTCGTCATGCCGTTGCACGTAAATCTTGTAAGTGTTATTTTAACCATAGCTACAAAGTGCGCCCTCATATTATACTAGTAAGTTTCAAAAGTGTCGCTCGGAGGGTACGTTATATCCCCCGAAATCCTTCGGGATTGACCAATATTTCTACCGGAGTACGCTCGAATGTTTTTGATTGATATTTTGTTCTGTTTGTTGAAAAGAAAATGCAAGTTATTTCTGTCTGAGTGAATTCTGTTGCGATCAATTTTTCTTACCGTGTTGCCTCAAATAGTTTTCTCTGCGAAATACACTTTCTGATTCCAGCATAGTCCCCTCATCAGGATAAAACTGTGCACCCCAACCATGTTTGAATATCAGACCAATTACTCGCTGGGTGGGGTTAATATTGGTAATTTTATTATGTTTGTTTAATGCAGTCGACGACCCCAAGAGGGCGCAATCTGGTAACATTAAAGAATTGCAAAGCAGTTGCGGTACTGCAGAAAAACGGCACGGTACACATTACACCAGAGAAGATATCCGAAGCCAGTAAGTATACATAAAACAACTTGTTTTCTTTCAAATAGCCCGGCATAGCTCACTTTCGAATCCGGGGGTCCCTATCGTGATTATTACAGTGAATCTTTTTTTCCGGGGAGTTATGAGTGTCGGGGAAAAACGCAGAGAACATGCCCACATTGGGAATCTCTGTGAGGAGGGCCAATTGTAGTGTTTTAATTATACAGAGTGACCTGCCTTCAACTGATTATAGCAATTCACTATTCAATCGTACCACGTGCTTACATATACCCAATCAACGTTTCAGTTACTGATATGCCGAGAATAAACTACGACAAATGTAATCAACGACCGTATACATATTATTATGGTGTAGCTGCCTGTAAGCCCGGGGATTTCACGAACGGGGTAAGTGCGCTACTATGTACTCTAATAACACGTTGGCGGCGCTGTGTAAAGATGGGTTCAGAGCGGAGTTCAAAGTGATTGACATTTTCTGTTTCTCCTACAGCTCGTGAAGGTTAACGTGCGACAGAAATCATTTGAGCTTTGGTCTGACGATGACTGCTATCCATCCGAACCTGTATTTATCGAGTCTCCGGGCGCTGTAATGGAAGACGACGGTAAGAGCGCACATATAAATCCTGACTTCGATATAAAAATGATCGTTGAAAGGTTTATTAGACAAGTTTATCGTAGTAGCCTCTTGACCGGACACAGCTATTTGTTGGGGGAGGGGGTTGCATTACAGTTAAAAATGTGCGTTGTTTTTGGTCAAGTTAATATACATCATCTCTACTGAGATGCCTCCATTTTAATTGTGCCCTCTAGTGGCTAAACGATTCAGCGACGTAATTGGATAAATGTGGAGCAGCGGACGAGTGTCGATGTTTTGAATATGTGGTTTTCAGTCAGTAAAAATATAGTTTTTACAGAGATCACCAAAAAACGATCAATATACGTCATTTTTACGTCACATGCGCGTAGCATTGCTAGAGGGCGCGATAGCTTTTGCTTATGCATTATTCATTGTTAGATGATAAGCTGAAATTTACATCATGGCGGTTTGTGTTATTTTTTTCAGGCGTAATCGTTTCAACAGTCATCAACACACGGAAGAGGTCGGCATTTCTATTGGTGTTGGATGCCAGCACATTTACAGAGCTAGGTCGAGCCAATATTCCTGATGAAGTAGAGTGTCCTGTTGGATTCCATGCAATGTACCTGTCTAAACAACAAACACAGCTCGCTAATCAATCGCACAAACAGAATGGACTGCCATCAGTGTAGAATGCAGCTTAACAACGTTACGTTAGAACTAGAACCTTCGCTGCTTTGCTGAAAGCAACTAGCGATTCCATCATTAATGTATTACACTCATATTGTCTGCTTTTAATTCTATAAAATCCGTTGGGAACACTCTAGTTTTGCCACCTTTCAAACCGGACAAAAAGCGGCAGATAATCCGTAGTACTTACATGCACACGTGACAGGTGTCTCCCATGGTGCAACGCTTCCGGTCCGAGAGAGCTGCGTATATTAGACTACAGGTGGCGTAGTTGCATGAAACGCGAACACAGTATAGGGTATAATGTGCAATAAGTTAGGGGTGCTCACTTACAAACCTCTAGATATTTTGTATTATAGTTTATTATTATAAACGGACTTCTTGTAGAGTGATATGCGAAATTAAGATTAATATTAATCACAACCTGACAAATATA